TTCCTTTACCCTGTGAGGTTTTCCACAGAGGTCAAGGAATAGTAGTTAGGAATAGTAGTTAGGTCGTCATTTTTTTGAGGACTTTCAAAATACTAATAATGTATGTATTTTTCAGACTGATTAACTGGCTTATCCCCGATTTATATATGTAATTAACATTTTTCCAAGGGTAGCCGATCAAGATTCATGCCACACACAGATTTGTTTGTTTATTGAGCTTTCACTGTGGCTGCCACTGGCAGTGATGTACGTCTAACAGTGGGTAGGAGGTTAAAATAGTGATCTTAACAAAAACATGCTAGCCAATCAAATCAATCATTACTGATGTTGATGGGTTCATTTTCTTTTTTGGAAGTTCACGTGTTTGAGACAGTGCTAAAGACTTTCTACAAACCAGGATGTAGTAGTAGGCAGTTAAAATGGCTAATATAGACCGCAAAATAAAACTGAGGCAATGAACAGGTCAGTACAGGTACAGGACAGAAAAAACAAAAACAAAACATGAACATATCCTTGAAACTCAGATGGGGCGTGTAGTAAACAATGGAGAAGTTATTGCCACATAGCAAATCAAATCTAAAGTGAAACTGCGTACCGAAACAAGGCACTGACGTACAGCAGTTAAAGGGTCACACTGGCATGGTCCCTAAGGTGGTCACCTCTACGAGAGATCCCACTAAGCAGGTCTCAAGTGATGACAAGGCTTCTCAAAGTAGATGTGAGACTGTTAGCATGTTGCTCTGTTCCAATCCAATCACATTACTGTAACAAACAATCGTGGCTTGGACCAAGTTACAGGTTGCGTTGTTCTTTTGGAACTCTTTGTTAACAAACCTGTTAACCAGCAAGAGTAAGTTCATCCTGAGCAACGGAGAGTTAATGATTAGCTGCTGCATACCTCCATATCCACTGTACATGGTAGCCGTTGTGGTTGATGTCCAGATATCGTAGTGAGGGAACAACCCAATTCCACAAAACAAGCAGTCCGTCCTCGTGGATGTACCCTCGGATTCCTCCCGCTCTCTCTTGGGCAAGTGTTTCCCCTCTATCCCGGTCTGTTTCCCCCTTTCTCTTCCCCCATAGCAACTGTCCCTGGTGGTAATCCTCACGTCCACTCACCTACTGATCCGCTCTGTGCCTCACACACACTGATAAGAAGAGGAGGGGGAGGGAGGGAGGAAAAGGGAAAAAGCAAAGCGATCCTCCCTCCTCTTCTTCCCGGCTGACACACCCAGTCTTCCTGCCCCCCCCCTTCTCCCCGGTTGTGCGTATTGTTTCAGAACATACAGATCATTCTTTAACCAACATCTCTTCCACCACAATATCAATATTCCATTTTCCAAACATAAATCATTTATAACCGTTACAGTATCATTTGGGTTGAGGATTTAAAAGGTTGTTGTCATATAATCTCAAACTGTTGCAATAACCTGAAATGATGCGTGTGTTTTAAAAACAAGTTGTTGAAGAATTATTTTCTACATTTGTAGCTCGAGGCCTTTGGTGAACAAAGAACGTTTTTTTCAGCGTGAGTGTAAATCACACACATACGCAAACACACCTGAAACAAAGCCACATTCTTTCTGTTCATACTAGACCAGGTATGTTTGTTTCCTATCAGCTTGTTTGATAAATTCCTCTCGTTCTTTGTGGATGTTGGAGCTCTGCCGTATTTCTCTATTCATAAAGGTCCTCCAGAATATCAAAGGGGCTCTAAGAAGTTGTCCTGTAAAACAAATCTTATATTTTAGATTTCGTGTGTTTTTCCATGAGATCTAAACAAAACAGTTATGTTCCTCATAAATCATTTTACAGTATTTATAATCCATCATGTGGACGCCTGTTTTACCAGCTTGCAGCCTTCTTCTTCATTCCTTGTTTCTTGGCGCATTACTACCATGAGTAGAATATAACAAGCAGGACGTCATGTAGCAGCATCCCGAGGTTACTTTTTAATACTCAGTGGGGTCCACAGGATTGAGATGCTACCCCCTATATTCCATTATTTATTTATTTAATTTTGATTGATTTTCTAATTATTTGTTTATTAACCTGGTGTATGTTCCTTTGCTAAGAGATTATGTACCTGTGTTGGTAATTGAGTTATTCTGGTTATACAGGCAGAGAGGTCACCTAAGGGGTCATTGGTTTAGGAGACAAGCGGGAGATTGTTTACGTGCGCTTTGGAAGAGGAAGGAAAAGAGAAAAAGTGTAACTGGCGCTGATGCGCACTTCTTACCCTGTAAAGGAATAAAGTACCTGGACATCCCGTATGTCCAAGTGTGCTACAACTCTTTCCTTAAAGGTGCAACACATGTTAACATACTTGGAGGGGCATGTCAGCTCTCCTGCTGGCTTCTTCCAAAATGTAGAGTCAGTTAGCTGGAGCAACTTGCGCAGAACAAAAGGGTGAACTCGGACCAGTTTATCGGAGTGAAATGCCGTCAGCAGTAACAGGACGTTCTTGTCATTATGGGGTGAGCCTCCATCTGCTGGTTTGTCAAGATCTCTCCAACTCCTAATACACCAACGGTGTTTCCCTTATTCTGATGACATATTGTACAGCAGCTATTTGATACTCTCGTGCTTTTAACAACGTGATCCTGACATGTACCCGTGGGGCGTTAGAGAAACTTCATGATCAAAGATAAATAGGTTCATTCAATGATGACCGGTGAGAAGTTCCTTCAAGTTCGTATTTCACTGTGTAGTGACACACAAAGAATTAGATTACCAGCTATGAAAAGAGGTTCAATGTAAAGAAATGTACACTAGTTTATGCTAGAATCCGACAGAGAGCACGCGGCAGCGCTCTGGGAGGATTACATGAACGGGAGATTCCAGAAGACTTGACAGTGAAGAGTTATGGAGGCTGGCGCCGCATGAGACTGAACTCACACGCACAAAGACACACGTGCGCATGTTCTTATTCAAAAATGTACTGTATAATATTTTTACACTTGTTACGTCTCATTTGAGAAGATGCTTACCTAAAATTTCTTAACATCATCATCGGACGCCCCCCTCCAAAAACTACATGGACAAAGCTGTAAAGATTTCATTTTACAATGTTTGTATCTGCTCTGACATGACACTACCTGCAGTTGTAACTTCCAGGCCGTATGTACTGTGTCAGGGCCAGTTGGCAACCGATTGACGCCGAACTGACTACTACCCCTCCGCCCTTTCCCCGGTTCAGCCAAACTGTTTGCCCGACCACTAGCCGGTTATTGTTTTATTTATTTATTTCGATACATATGTCCCACTATTGTTTTAGCGTTGCCATGCCTCTCTGATTATCGCCATGTTCCTATGATTGCATAGGAGATTTAGCGACCTGCCGATCATATCATAGGAAGGTGGCGACAGATCATGTGACCTGCCGATGATATCATAGGAAGGTGGCGACAGATCGTGCGACCTGCCGATGATATCACAGGAAGGTGGCGACAGATCGTGCGACCTGCCGATGATATCACAGGAAGGTGGCGACAGATCTTGTGACCTGCCAATCATATCATAGGAAGGTGGCGACAGATCGTGCGACCTGCCGATGATATCATAGGAAGGTGGCGACAGATCGTGCGACCTGCCGATGATATCATAGGAAGGTGGCGACAGATCGTGCGACCTGCCGATGATATCATAGGAAGGTGGCGACAGATCATGCGACCTGCCGATGATACCATAGGAAGGTGGCGACACATCATGCGACCTGCCAATCATATCATAGGAAGGTGGCGACAGATCATGTGACCTGCCGATCATATCATAGCAAACTGGCGACAGATCACGCGACCTGCCTATCGGATGATGGGAACATGGCGGTAATCAGAGAGGCATGGCAACGCTAAAACAATAGTGGGACATATGTATCGGACTAAATAAATACAACGAAAACCCAGAGACGGCTGGTGGTCGAGCGAACGGTTTGACCGGGGGGGGGCAGTAGTCAGTCGATGTGCTGTCAGTGCTCTCTGTCCGCTGGCTTCGGTCGGTTATCAAAACATTGCTCAAATGACCCTTTTCAGACTTAATAAATATAGAATCCCATTTCTAAAGCCGCATTAAGACAAACATCACTTTGTTTACGACGCTGCGCTACTTGCAAGTCGCTGTGGTCTGCTAGATTGTTAATAAAGTTAGAAAAAAACATCACGTCACGAAGATATTCATTTAACGTTACATGGTATTTGCATGTCGCTAAATACTCAACTGAGATCGGCTTATGCCGTTCTGAAAAAGGATCCGACCACCGACCACGCAACCTGCCGTCATGGCAAAGGAACCTGCCACCGACCATCGGCACCTGCCATTCTGACAAAGGAACCTTCCACCGACCACTTTTCGCACTCGGCCCTACTGTGGCAACCCCTAAAATGTGGATTCTCGCTATTGACCAGCTGGGGTCAAATCCTCAGGTTCCAAAAAAAATTATTATTAGAATGAAGCCTTCGTTCTAGCTCTCTGGACATCTTCAACACGGATTGTTTTTTTGCAATGTAACATTATCAGTGAGTAGAAGACCAATAAAAGACGTCCTGATCTCACATTTCATGATCTCAAACATCAGGACAGTGCATTATCTTGTCTGCAGCCATCGAATGCATATCATTCTCCTTTTTAAACAAAGACAACTGATCAAAAAGGTTATAAAAATATTACAAACATTCATCAAAGATTGAGTCACAATCTCGCAATGGGATAGTCTCCATTTACACCCCACATTCACACTTCTGTTTCTTTGCTGCAAGGCCTTTATTGTGAAGCAGCAGCAGGAAGTGCTGATCGGTAACACTCTTCTTCCTTGGTCAGATTGTCTCTCCTTACAGTTCAACAAGCAGGGAGCAAACGTGTAGTGTAATGATGAAAAATGCTACGTTGAAATAGAATCAGTGTGGTCATGAGCTGACGGACTGATCCTACTTCACTTAGCATCACGTGACGGGCTCCGTCTATGTGTGTGTGTGTGGACCCCTGTGAAGTGGGGACTTTCTGGTTAATCTCCAGCTGGCCAATAAGCAGCTTAACTGTCCCTTGAGTGCAGCGGGCTAATTACTAGTGTGTAGTCATTCAAATATGGTCACCACAGACGCACACTGAAATAAACTCCATATCAATACAAAACATCACCTGAATCAGAATATCAGAATCTGAACATGACACAATGTAGGTTGTGCGATTTGGAGAAAGCTGCTATCTGCTGGGTCCGTCACACAACGCTGATGGGCCGAATGTGCAGCAGGGAAACTGTCACTGGGTTTGACCAGGTTAAGCTGCTGCACGGGCAGGTACAGAGACACCCAAAGCATCAATGGTTTAATCTGGGACCCCTGACCAGCACTGAGAGGGGTTCCAGAATGTCAACCAGACCACATTGGAACATGTTGGGGGCCAACGATTATGAGACATGAATCTGAAATAGAAACATGTACTATGAAACATGGCGAACAAACAATGAGTATGTTTAAACAATGACGTTGTTAAGAGAAAAAAAGTTGTGCAAGGGTGTGCAACTATGATAGTGTATTTATTTTAGGCTAATCACAACCGTGTGTGGGGACCGAAGGTTACTGTGGTTTGGTTCTGCCATGCAGGTTTTAGTAAATATGATTAGTAGGTTAAGGTATTTTATAATGCTGTCAGTGTTCTTATTGCCACACACACACCCACATATATTTTATATATATTCACATATACAGAGTTATCTGTAGATATAAATAAGCAAAGATAATCATACAGTAATAAAAATAATGCCTATATGGTGTAAGAACAATACCTCCAATTCCCAAGTCCATTACCGCTTTTATTCACATTTTAAAAGCCAAGTAGGGAGAATTTTATGACAACGTTATGCCACTCCACGAAGCAGAGGCTTCTATTAGTTTAGATGTGTCTTTCAAAAACTGTTCGGCATCTTGTAGTTTTTTTAACCTTCTAGGTCACATATAATCTATTGCAATTCGTCCACATTTCAATACTCCCTGCATGAAACTATCTGACAACTGAATACATATGAATGCATATTCTTAGAAGTCTGCTGTAAAGAGGTTAGATGTTTCTCCTAAAGTTTAGAAGAGATTGCGGTTTCTTTTAACTAAAGCCAGACAACTTAACCAGTTATCGCGCATTAATTAACGCGACAATTCC